CGATGGGAAAGAGGTTCAGGCTTAGCAGATAGTCCAGGTCTAACAACATTTACAATGCGTTTTTGGACCTTGTCAAGAAGAGAAAGTGAATCGTTAGAAGAACCAGCCCAAATATGACAACAGTATTCCATACAGGGACGAATAAGAGATTTGTAGAGGTAGAGAATGGAATCGGAAGTAAGGAAATGGCGAGCACGATAAAGAGAAGCAACCTTAGCAGAAGCTAATTTAGCAATCGATTGTATATATGGTTTCCATGAAAGGTCAGTAGTAAGCGATAATCCAAGAAGACGTAAAGAGGACGACTCAGTAAGAGGATTGCCATTCATTAATATAGGAATGTTGACCATATTACGGTAGTTGTTTGCAGTAAGCAACTGGGTTTTATTAGAGTTGAAATTCACAAGCCACTGGGAACCCCAATCTATTACTGAAGTGAGATCGAATTCAAGATCAGCTGCTTGTTCTAGGCAATCGAAAAGAGAAGACTTTTTGTCAAGACAGAAGTATAAAGTTGAGTCATCAGCAAAAAGAGCTACTTTAGATGAAAGGTTGTCAGGAAGATTGTTTATGTAGATAAGAAACAAAACAGGACCCAGGATGGAACCTTGGGGAACCCCAGAAGTTACTGGAAATAAAGAAGAGTATTGGCCTTCAAGGATGACTTTAATAAATCGGTTAGAAAGAAATGATTTGATAATCTCAAAAACTTTCCCAGAAACAAGCTTATGGAGAAGACCAACATGCCAAACTTTGAAAGCTTTAGATATGTTGAGAGCAATAGCCCTAGCTTCACTGCCTCCATCTAATGCACCATATAATCTTTCAGTTACAGCAGTTAGCAAGTTGGCCGTAGAGCGAGAGGATCGAAAACCGTATTGATTGTCTGACAGTAGTTTATTTGATCAAGATGAGATGTGAGGAATTTGTTGATCAAAGACTCAAAGACCTTGCTAATAACAGAAAGAAGACTAATTGGACGATAATTGGGGGGGTCAGAATTTTCTCCAGAGTTTTTGAATATTGGAACCACAGATGCCATTTTCCAACAAGCAGGAAAACAAGACTCATTCAAACACTTGTTAAATAGTTTAGAGAGAATTGAAGAAAGTTCTGGAGAACAATTCTGCAAGACTGTGACAGGAATGTTGTCTGGACCACAAGCTGTAGACGAGTTTAATTGAGATATGACTTTAGCAACAGAAGCCGGAGTGATTTGAATGTCTAACAATGGGTCAACCTGTTCGACTGGAATGGAAGGAAGAGAATGTCCATAAGATTCAAGAGTGGAATTAGAAGAAAAGTTCTTTGCAAATAGTTCTGCCTTATCCTTGGGAGAGGTAATAAAATCAGTCCCATGAATGAGAGATGGAATGTTAGATCTACCCTTGTTAATAATGCCGTTCAAGATTTTTCAAAAGTCTTTAGAGTCTAACTTCTGTGATAAGATGCGAGATTTAGTGAACTGAGAATAATGGAGTTTAGCATCAGAAAGCACCTTTTTACATCAATTTCTTGCAATAATAAATAGCCGTTTGTTCTCAAGAGAGTTGTTCTTTTGAAAAAGATTAAAAAAATGATTACGATTGGATATAGCAGCCACACAAGAAGGAGAAAACCATGGAGTAGAATGAGGCTTGACTTGAAACCGACAAGAAGGAATAAAAGCTTCCATTCCAGCCTGAATCCAGGAGGTTACGTAGAAGGCGCATTTATCAGCTGAGAAAGAAAAAACATCAGCCCAAGGACCATCACGAAGAAAATCACGAAAAGAATCCCAGTCAGCTTTAGGGTAGTAGTAGGTGGTGCGATGATAAAGTGAGCCCAAAAAAAGAAGTACGAGAAGAAGTTAATTATCGGAGTAAGAGATTGAGAAACGCAGAAGTTAAAGGCTTTAGTGCCAACAGGATCAGTGGTGTTAGAGCCAAGCCATTCAGTGTGATGGGCATTAAAATCACCAACAACAACAATATTGGCAGAGGGGTAAAAAGAGAGGGCATGGTCAATTTGATCAGAGATTACATCTAAAAGAGTGCAATCATGGGAAGAAGGAGAACGATAAAGAACAAAGAGAAAGGTGATAGAGTGAAGAGGTGCTAGACGAAAGCATATAAAAGAATGGTCAAAGGATTCGAACCTGATTTCACGACAAATAGGAGAATTTATGCGTATGTATACCCCTAAACCTAGCATGTGACTATTGGAGTTTTTACGAATTAAAGGATAGTACCCATCAACACTGACGTCTGAAGAAGGAATTGCAGAATTTAAATTTGTTTAACTGAGTGCAAGCAAGTCTGGTGAATTTGCAGGAGGTAAGACTCAACTGATGGAAAGTTGCTTCGCAGACCGCGAATATTTGTAAAAGATATATTAAAACAATTAGGTGGTGGGGATGGTTTTTTAGGTTTCAAATTTTTGGTTACTTTGGTCATGATTTGAGTCTAATGAGAACTTGACTCATTCATAGATAGAGCACAGCCTCCTAATCAATGAGCTATGCAGTTGTCTCAGTCCTGTTAATTAACCCTAAGCCGTGACATAGGGCTCCTTATGTGGCCTTGACGATGCACACCAAAAGCATTAACAGGGACACCATCCATGCGCAACATGGCACTGTTAATACTCTGATATTTTGCAGCTGTTGATGGAATCAACCTCTCTGAGAGCTACCACAGAGTTTGGGAAACTTTACTACCAGCTAGCCTCAGAACCATTAAACTGAGTTTTAGAGCTGTACCCTCATATGGAGATAACAGGAAGAGTTGCATAGCCATTATCAAGGAGGCATAAGCAAAATTCTATGAGTAGAGTCAAGGAGATCCAGCATTCATCATCCTATGCAGGAAACAATGTAACACAGGTTACATCTACGCCAGCCTAATAGATGAAGAAGGGGTTCGAGGCTGGTCAGCAGAATTTTTCTGCTTACCTAAAGTCTTTGCCTAGGAGGCCTTCTCAAAACAGTAGTTGGATGCAGTTAACATCTGCTTAAGATGAGTATTTTTTTCGAGACACCATCTCTAGCCTTTACTCAACCAAGAGCCCCAAGGCAGGGGATGTTTAGCTAGGCCTTCTCAAAACAGTAGTTGGATGCAGTTAACATCTGCCCAAGATGAGTGTTTTTATCGAGACACCATCTCTAGCCTTTACTCAACCAAGAGCCCCAAGGAGATTTTTTTAATTAAAATAGAGTTATTAAATGAACTTAAGTTTTAAAGTTATATTAGAGCTTATATTCAGGGATGCGAAGTATTCATTTTTAGGGACTCTAAACTCAGAAATTTTTAACTCTATTAATTCAAACAAGAGCTTTTAGGGATGAAATGATATAAAGTTTTAGTTATGATGTAAATAGTTTATTTTTTATTTTATTTTACTTTGCTCAAAAAATAACTATTTCTTTTAGATTAAAGGTATTTCTACTAATATAATTTGTATAACGAATTTGTTAACTACAAGTGTACATGCAGTAGTGGTGTAGTGGTAAAGCGCTTGCATGGTACACAAAGAACTCCATGTTTGATTACTACGCTCCACTTATTTCTCTGTGTATTGGCCTTCATTTGTTTCATACCTTTCACAGGATTGGTGATTGGATAACCCACAAAAAATAGTTGTTAAAATTGTTATTATAATAACGTGTAAATCGAATGCATATTTAAACCAAAATGCTGCAACACTTTTTTATTTAATTTAAATGATAAATTATAGCAAAAAAAAAAATTTACAAGTTATATTCTGACAACCTGCTCAGACACATTTAATAGACTTCAATTGCTACACTAGGAAAAAGATACTTTCTAACTTTCTTTAAAAAGACCTATAAAACTATTCTATCAGTAAAACATATCTGTTAGTTTAAACAATATAATTAGGAAACCGCAAAATTTTTTCTTTTATTTTAGAATCAACACTGGCATCAAACCTCAGACTTAAAATAAACTGACTTTGAAAATAAAACTGAATTAATCAACTGGCATATTAACCCAATATACATTCCTCCCATCTATGGTCACAGCAAACGCGATGAAAGCGTTTGTTATGACCATAGATGGGAGGAATGTATATTATATCAATATGCTAGTTGATTAATTCATTTAACTTTTTCAATATTCAGGTAGCAAATACTTGGAATGCTCTGCCGAATAATGTTGTCAACACCTTTACGACAGTTTCAAAATAAAACTAGACCAGTAACTGACATAGTTACCACAGTGCATCATTTTCCGTGGCTGTATTATCGCAGCTATACGAGCTAGCTTGCTAGCTAATGATGAACTTACGGTTCATATCTATACCGTTTAACTTTAATTGTAATTGTAGTTAATATAACTAATATAATTTTAAACTAAAAAAAAAAAAGGTTTTCTGTACCACATATGCTGTGATTCACCTCAAATTCTTTAAAAGCAATGTCTGTTATTGACAATGTACTGCATAAACACACTACACATTTTTAAACAGTTTTTATGCCAGAGGGCTTGCCATATGCAGTGTTATTCAATGCGTTGAGGCTTTTACTGGTTTAAAGTTACATAACTGTTAGCTAAACAAATTTAAATTATTAAACTCATAGAAGTTAATAATGGTTAGTAAAGAAATGTTTATATGCTGGTATAAAATTTAAAAAAACTAGGATTCCTAGAGGCCAAATAATTTTTATGATGGGCGGGACTCTGGGTAAAAATAAGGACTCCTGGTCTCTGGAGTCTGACTTTACATTGGACTCCAGAGTCCAGGATATATCAAAATAGAATCCCTGGTTATATTAGAGATTCTTATATAAATAAAAGTTAAATAAACCCTTTTAAGTAACAGTAGTAATCACCAGATCTTTTTGAATAATTTTTTTTGAAATAATTGTTACAAATGTAGTTAAATGGTTAATAAATATAATTAAGTAATTCTAATTGCAATTATTTCTATAACCTGTCTCTTATATAATTTTTTGTTATATTAAAGTTAATCAATTTGAAAATTACTTCACTTATTTATAGTACTTCAAGAAAATGTGAGTGCTGTAGTCTCAAGACAAGTAATAGCTGATGTTTCCTCAGCATTACCAAAGTTAGACAATGAAACAGTGAAAGTTGTATCACATTTTGCTCTTGAAAATTTGCATTCTAGAGCCATTTCTTTTGAAGAACAGGTGAATTTTGTAAAAATACTTTATATATTTACATATATTTTATTTTTTATATGTCTAAAATTCTTACTGTAATAGATAAAAATGAATGAAATTAGATCATCAAAAATGAATGATATTAGATCATCAAAAATGAATGATATTAGATTATCAAAAATAGAAGTTACTTGTGTACGAGTTTAGTTCATGGTAAATAATATTTTATTAAAAAAAAGCTTGTATTAGTTTGATGAGAGTTAATTTTTGACATTCCAACATAACGTGTGGGTTCTTTGGATATAACTTATAAAAATGAGAAATGTTCTACTTCTTTATTTCCATTGAAAATAGAATTTTAAACAAAAATATCTTCAATGCTTTGTATTGAGTATAAAATTTAAGTAATATTCATCATTAGTTATATTAATGTACAATAAAGTTTTTTGAATATAATTTTTTTTCAAAAATATTTGAGTAGTTGTTAAAATGTTTTTTTAAAAATCATTTATCAGTTTACTATTAAAAACTTTGTTTTGTATGTTATTTTTATTTCTAGTTTTTAAATTATGTGTAGAAGACTTGACTATTTTTTACATTCACTCTTTTTAATATTTAACTTCTTTTAAGTGTGTCATTCCATGCCAAGTGGATCAAGGTCCAACATGGACCACCATAGGTTATAATGAAAAATGGTGGCTTGGTTTATGTCAATAAGAAAAGCCATTCCTGAAAATTTCAGCATGATATATTTTGTGGTTCAAGAAATACGGTTTAATTTGAAATTTCTAGTTTTAACAAAAATAAAAACTTTAGTAGCAAAAACATGTTTCATACTTTGAAGCTCTATGTTTTAAAAACAGATATCAGAAAACCATCTAATTGCATACAATTTTAGACTTACTTTAATAAAACTTTGACAAATATTACATTTTATACACAATGGCTACTTAAAAAACCTAAAAAATTGTTTGCAACTATAAAAAGTTGATTTTTGATGGGTCAATATACAAAATCTGCGATTTAAGAATTGAAAAGACAACTTTTTTCAGTTTTTAAAAATGGTAGGCTTCCAAATTTTTAGAAATTTATTGAAAAGATACAATTCAGTGAAATTTATTGAAATTCAGTGAAAGATACAATTCAGTGAAAGACACTCAAATAAGGCTCCAACTAAAACTATCAAAATGATTACTCCAAATCACTGTTAAGTGGTTTAGAGTGATCATTTCTTAAGTTTTAGTTGGAGTGATAAGAATTTTTTCTCCTACTAATTTAATAGGCTTTATTACAGTAATTTCTGAAAATCAATGTAGGAACTCATAGCGAAGTTACAAAATCAGAGCTATGAAATTGCTAAATTAGAGAACGCTAATTTAGCAATTGATTGTATATATGGTTTCCATAAAAAGTCATAATAAACAATAAGAAGACGTAAAGAAGAGGACTCAGTGAGAGGGTTGCCATTCATTAGTATAGGAATGTTGACAGTATTGCAATGGTTGTTTGCAGTAAATAACTGAGTTTTGTTGGAGTTAATATTTACAAGCCACTGCAAGCCTCAATCTGTAGATAAAAAATAAAAAAGGACTAAGGATAGAATCTTGAGGTACCCTAGAAGTTACTGGAAATGAAGAAGAATGTTGGCCTTTGAGAATGACTTTCATAAAGCAGTTAGAAAGAAACAGATTGATAATCTCAAAAACCCTCCCAGATACACCATATGAAACAAATTTATGGAGAAGACCGGCATGCCAAACTTTGTCAAATGCTTTAAATATGTCAAGAGCAATAGCTCTTGCCCCTCCACCTCAATCTAATGCAAACATATTTTATCATATTTTATATTATATGTGAGTGGATAAAAGTGTTCAAAAATAATATTATATATGAATTATCGATAACTATATAATTAACTAGCCTAGGGCTATTATTATTAAAATGCCTAGGGTATGTGCCTAGGATCGCCAAATAACTTGAGCCTGGCCTATTAAAATGCCAATATTGGCATAATATTTTTAAATCATTTTACCATTATTGGCGCAATATCGCGTATCTTGTTTATTGGTCATATCGCACCAATATTGAAAAAGAAAGGAAAAGATTATTAAAAAAAGAAGTAAAAAAATAATACAAACCCGCAAGCAGTCTTGGCCAATTTTAAAAAAGAAAATTTTTAAAAATTTTGATAAGATTCCTTTTTAAAACAAACCTGCAATCAGTTTAGTAGCTAATTTTTATATAAAATGTTAGTTTTTATGTGCACCAAAAACAACAACAAAAAGTTGATAAAGAGTTTATATCAAGTGAAAGAAAAACTTATAAAAAGGGCTGCAAAAAAATGTTACTAAATTTGTTAGATTTTAGTTGTTTCTGTTGTCATTGTTCTTTTGTTTATTAAAATTGTTTTAAAGTTTAATTTTTTTTAAGCAAAATCCATAAAAGATAAACATCTTTTTTGTTGTTGTTTTTAATGTTTTACGATAAGAATGTTTTATTAACAAAATTGGTAAAAGTTATTATTAATTACTTAGATAGGTACAAAAGTTTGAATTGACTTCATAAAGTTTTTGCCACAAGCACATTAGTTAATGGCATAATGAAATATTGATAGGGAAAATGCTGTTTTCCAAGAGTGGCAAACAGTGATAAAAAGTATGGAAATAAAAATTGATTTTTAAAATAGCGCACATCACTCTAGTAATAAACCTCTGCCCAGTAGCTTTTCATGTGCTTGACATAAATTACTAACTGTGCATCTTTTACAGCCTACAGCACCTATAATTGACAAAATTTTTAATTTGTAGCTATTTTAATTAATTATTTTATTCTATTTTTTAAGATTGCTATGTTTGTAATTGTTTAGCTTTATTTTTAGGTTGTGGCTATTCGTCAACATTTAGCCACAGTTTATGAAGGGGAACAGTTATGGAGAGAAGCTGCTGAAACTTTAGTTGGCATTCCTCTTGGAACAGGACAAAAGTAAGTTTTAGTTTTAAATGTTATGTAGATTTTTTTTTCTTACTTGTTGCTCATCTGTTACTACATTTTATATTATATTATTGTATATAAAATGTAGTAACCGAATAAAATACATATAAATAAAAAATACATATAAATACATATAAATTAAACAGAATAAAATAAATAACATTTTATATGTATTTTATTGCGAGCAATATAGCGTGGCATCGTTATATTTTTATACATATTTTTTATATTTTTACAATTGTTTAAACTTCAGACAATACAGTGAGGAGATGAAGCTAGAGATTTATTTGAAGATTGCTCAATTGTATCTGGAAAGTGAAGATCCTGTCCAAGCAGAAATATATATAAACAGAGCATCCTTGTTGCAAAAAGCAATTAGTGAAAATGAAAAGTTAGATATACTATATAGAGTAAATTTTTTTTAATTTCATTTCTTTAATTATGTTTTCTTTTCTATTTACAAACAAATTTTATTACACTAATGCACTATTCATTTTTTTCAACATTTTCAAAAATATGTATAGATTTAAATCAGCAAAAAAAGTGATTAAATGTGTATGTATAGATACACACATGTGCTATAGTATATATATATATATATATATATATATATATATATGTGTGTGTGTATATATATATATATATATATATATAATATATATATATATATATATATATATATATATATATATATATATATATATATATATATATATACATGCATACTATAGTACATGTGTGTATCTATACATACACAATCACTTTTTAATCGCATATATATATATATATATATATATATATATATATATATATATATATATATATATATATATATATATATATACAGTGCTTTTTTCTAAAATAAAAGGTGCCGTAACTTATCTGAGTTTTTCTTTATATGTATCTATATATCAAAAATGAGGGAGAAATTAGCAATTCAATTCATACCTAATGAGGCAGAAACAAAAAAAATGTAGCCGTTTTTACATGCAAGAAGCTTTTGTTTTTTTAAAAAAAGTTTTTTTCAGTTTTGTTCAGACATTTCCGCTTGTCTCCTTTTCTTGTTCTTAGTGTGTACTGCTGAATATCTTACGCTAAGTAACTATGAATCAACATATTTTGAAGAATTGAAGCTTGTTAGCGGTGGTCTAATTAATTTAATGAATAACAACGTTGAAACTGTTTATTTCAATAATGAATCCCTTGTTGGTGTGATAATCAGACTTATTTGTGAAAATCCATGTTTGCATTCACTTAAGGAAATAGGGATAGTATGTAGAGCGTGTACCAAATAAACTAAATTTTTAGCAGCTGAATATTAAGCAATTCTGCGCATGAACGTAACTCTGCTATTTTGGGGGGAACCATGATACATGATGTAAAGCTAATTAAGAAATACTTTGAATTTGTTAATACTTAAGATCTCTCTAATGGTCCCTAATATTCGTCTATTAATAATTCCAGTCTAAGATTAACACAATGTCAAACTATAAGAAAAGGAAAGTTTTCAGTGATTTTTTTGAAAATGCCGCTTTTGCATTTTACCATCACATGCAGAAACTAAATAATTCATAAAATATTTTTCTTTCATTCCATAAGAGTGAATACATTTATGTAAAGCATCAAATAATCTTTTATTCATAACACTTTTAAGTTCCTATAAATCCAATAATGAATTAATTGGTGAATTCATTACACTGCATTTTACACAGCATCAAATTTACTCTATCAGTGTTAGTTTTTAACAAAATCTTGCTCATTGATTTTATGACACCTGGGGTCGATGTTTAAAACTTTTTATCGGCGTAAAATGCTACTAGCGGAATTTTTGCTCAGGAATTTTTACAGCCGTAAATATAGAGACGTAAAATGTTTTTTCATTCAATGTTATAAAACTTTTACCGGCGTAAAATTTTGCAGATATCTATGCTCTGAATTTATTTTCGGAAATCTACTGTCCGAATCAATAACATAAAATATTGTCAAAAACAAAATGTTTTTGAGTTGAAAACATAAAAGTTAACAAAAATTAACAGTTTCTTATGGATTTGGACTTAGACTGTTCCCATTCTGATGAAGAATGTTTTGTTGCTTTAGAATACTTAGCAAATCAGAGACAACCACGAGAAGTAAAACTGTTCAAACAGTATTTAAACTGTTAAATATACAATTTAAAAGTGAAAAAATGGAACTGATATTAATTTTTTACCTTACCCTATAAAAAAATTTGTATAGCTTTTCTATAAAAATAACTATATAGAATTGTATATAGAGGTTTCATAAGACCAGAGTTGTTAGTCCTTGGCCTTGACTTTGCCTTTAGACCAAAAACTAAGGCTTTGGCCTTGAAACTTTTAACCTTGGCCTTGACTTTGATTATTTGGCCTTGACCTTGATTATTTGGCCTTGATCTTTATAATAAAATACATAAAACTAAAGAATTAAAAGTTTTTATTCTTTTTATTTACGTAATTAATTAGGTACCACATCCCTGGTAGTACCGCGCTCAACTCATTTCTCCTCGCAGCGGCCTTATTCGTTGAGGTTCGTGTTTCGGAGTTATAGAGTTGAGAGAGGGTTATAGCCACAAAAATGGTAGTAGCCTCCTCGTCTGTAGTGGCCTTCTCGGCCTTGAGGAGGTGAAGTAAAATAAAAAAAATAAATAAAATAAAGGTAATTAATCATTCTTTATTTCTTATTTTATAATTAATCATTCTTTATTTTTACGTAATTAATTAGGTAATTAATCATTTTTATTTTTTTAAATTGTGTTGATATAAATATAGAAATCTATACACATTTTATATTATACTATCTATACACATTTTATATTATACAATATATAAAAATAAAATCACATATTATAGAATCTATACACATAGAAAATTTATACAAACAGAAAAAATAGGAAAAACTGCATAAATAAACTTTTTTTAAATATGACTTTTAATATAAAATAATTAAAAGAATTATTCACAAACTCAAATTTTTATAACAAAAACTTATTTAGTCACAAATAAACATTTAAACAGAAAACTCTTTTGATGCTTTCTGATTAGAATTTTTTCCATAATAAATTTTGACATGCTTCCATACCATAGACAATATGAGAAACTTTGGAAACAAGTTGTACATGTTATCTAAACGCTTTATGAATAAGAAGAAAAATCTTTGATGTATTTTATTATCTGACTTTATCAAAATTATTTTAACTCATACCATATTCGAGCATAAAAGGTAATTTCTAGAACTTTAATAATTCTGTTTATAGTTTGACCACATTTTTACTAAATCGAATCTCAAATAACCTCTGCATAAATTTTAAATGGAGAAATTTCTTTTGCCCGTACATTTTGTCTAATACTCACGTTGTTCTGATGTTTGGGTCAATAAATAGTCCTAATAAATCTAGCATAAGTGCATTTTTCTAATTAGCTCAATAATAAACTTTGGAAATTTTCAAACACTTTAAATTCCTGATGGTTTTCTTTCAGACTGCAATGTCTAAATGAAAATTTGTAAAGTTAATCTAAAAAGTTAAATTTATTTATTAACTAAATTTATATATTTATATATATATATATATATATATATATATATATATATATATATATATATATATATATATATATATATATATATATATATATATATATATATATATATACACAAGTTTTCATGAATGAATATATATATATATATATATATATATATATATATATATATATATATATATATATATAAATGTATATAAATATATATATATATATATATATATATATATATATATATATATATATATATATATATATATATATAAATATATAAATTTAGTTAATAAATAAATTTAACTTTTTAGATTAACTTTACAAATTTTCATTTAGACATTGCAGTCTGAAAGAAAACCATCAGGAATTTAAAGTGTTTGAAAATTTCCAAAGTTTATTATTGAGCTAATTAGAAAAATGCACTTATGCTAGATTTATTAGGACTATTTATTGACCCAAACATCAGAACAACGTGAGTATTAGACAAAATGTACGGGCAAAAGAAATTTCTCCATTTAAAATTTATGCAGAGGTTATTTGAGATTCGATTTAGTAAAAATGTGGTCAAACTATAAACAGAATTATTAAAGTTCTAGAAATTACCTTTTATGCTCGAATATGGTATGAGTTAAAATAATTTTGATAAAGTCAGATAATAAAATACATCAAAGATTTTTCTTCTTATTCATAAAGCGTTTAGATAACATGTACAACTTGTTTCCAAAGTTTCTCATATTGTCTATGGTATGGAAGCATGTCAAAATTTATTATGGAAAAAATTCTAATCAGAAAGCATCAAAAGAGTTTTCTGTTTAAATGTTTATTTGTGACTAAATAAGTTTTTGTTATAAAAATTTGAGTTTGTGAATAATTCTTTTAATTATTTTATATTAAAAGTCATATTTAAAAAAAGTTTATTTATGCAGTTTTTCCTATTTTTTCTGTTTGTATAAATTTTCTATGTGTATAGATTCTATAATATGTGATTTTATTTTTATATATTGTATAATATAAAATGTGTATAGATAGTATAATATAAAATGTGTATAGATTTCTATATTTATATCAACACAATTTAAAAAAATAAAAATGATTAATTACCTAATTAATTACGTAAAAATAAAGAATGATTAATTATAAAATAAGAAATAAAGAATGATTAATTACCTTTATTTTATTTATTTTTTTTATTTTACTTCACCTCCTCAAGGCCGAGAAGGCCACTACAGACGAGGAGGCTACTACCATTTTTGTGGCTATAACCCTCTCTCAACTCTATAACTCCGAAACACGAACCTCAACGAATAAGGCCGCTGCGAGGAGAAATGAGTTGAGCGCGGTACTACCAGGGATGTGGTACCTAATTAATTACGTAAATAAAAAGAATAAAAACTTTTAATTCTTTAGTTTTATGTATTTTATTATAAAGATCAAGGCCAAATAATCAAGGTCAAGGCCAAATAATCAAAGTCAAGGCCAAGGTTAAAAGTTTCAAGGCCAAAGCCTTAGTTTTTGGTCTAAAGGCAAAGTCAAGGCCAAGGACTAACAACTCTGGTCTTATGAAACCTCTATATACAATTCTATATAGTTATTTTTATAGAAAAGCTATACAAATTTTTTTATAGGGTAAGGTAAAAAATTAATATCAGTTCCATTTTTTCACTTTTAAATTGTATATTTAACAGTTTAAATACTGTTTGAACAGTTTTACTTCTCGTGGTTGTCTCTGATTTGCTAAGTATTCTAAAGCAACAAAACATTCTTCATCAGAATGGGAACAGTCTAAGTCCAAATCCATAAGAAACTGTTAATTTTTGTTAACTTTTATGTTTTCAACTCAAAAACATTTTGTTTTTGACAAT